CTCATGTGGGTGCTGGCTTTCTGTGAAAAATAAATTTGAAGTCAAATTAATTAATTAAATTTTACAGTTTAATCAAAGGAAAGCACATATCCAAGGCAATAACAATTATCAAAATGTAGGGAAAAAATACGACAGACAGGCACAAACTACAGGGGAAAGGAAACGAGAAGGTTCTGTCATTGACACCCCCCACTCATCAACAATAACAAAAGGCAATATATTGGGGGGTTTTGGGGTGGGTTTTTGGGTTTTGTTTTTTTTCAAGTGTTTTACGGCGCTCACAACTGCATAAGGTTATATGAGCTCGCGGGACACATTAAACTTTTTCAGTTGGTAGGAAATTTTGAAATTTGCCCGGGTGGCGGTCAAAGCCTACTCTTATCGATTGGGAACAACCAAGGGATCTTTAACGTGTGCAACTTGTACTCGGGCCCTTTGAGATTTTTCGCCCTTGTCCGAGAAGGCTAGGTGCAGATCTTTCTTACCAGAAGATCAAGGATGTGGCTGAAAGACAGCAGTAAGAAGGAACCAGGGAGAAGCAGTAGAAAGGCTGCAGAAAGAGTCAGAAGCCCACAGGAGGGGGCGAAAAGAGGAGACGAAGGCAGACGATAGAACATTGCTAGAGAGCAGGCAATGAGGTGAAACGAGACAATTTTAGAGAAGAATTTTTTTTGGTCGCTACCCGGACTCGAACCCAGGACCTTCGAATGAGCGGCCAACACCCTAACCTCTAGGTCACGAGAGCCCCCATATTGGTTTTTGATTGAGTATCATGTTCTATATCGCTATAGAGAAAATCTGTTCATGTATTTGCCACATAAATCTGCAGATTTTCCAAACATCAACTTTTCTTACTAGAAAATCTACTGAAAGGATGGACAAACATTTACAAAAATCTGTCTGCAAAATTATGAGTTAAAAATGTTCACTTTTTTACAACTTTGATACTAGATTCTAGATCTAGATCTAGATCTATGCATTTCTTGTAGACTAGATCTAAATTTTTGCAAAACAAAGATCTTTCCTGGGTCAATAATATTAACAATGACTTCCTGTTGGAGCATTTAAAATATCAAATACTGCATTTTTTGAGACACCTAAATACAAACATGATGTAATTTGAAGTTGAACTCAAAACTCACCAATTATTGGTACTTTTTAATTTCTAAAGTAGTAATTGAGTTAATGTCTTAATACGGGACGTCTGTTAATAGGGGAGGGGGAGAGGGGGAGAGAGTGATATAGATCCAACCTACTGTTAAGTAGGTTTGTCGATACGGAGAGGTAGGAATCGAGACAGCGAAATACTCCACGTATGGTGGTAATCACCTGGTCGACGCTGTTCAGGGAAGGCCCTCAA